ACCATATGGTACGACTACATAACCTTAGAACTACATAACCTATTTTCTTCCCCAATACAGAACCGAAATATGTATTGAACACTTCTGCCATTTCTGTATTATAATTGATAATTCTATCATTTCCATCTGGGAATTCCATACAGCTCCCTCTATACCAGGGAAGCAACAGCTTATTAGCTTTCCAAGGAATGCAAAAGAGTTTTGCCAAGCTCTAGAGCCTGAATCTTGGGAGCACACTGTGGCTTGACTGAGCTCTCTCCCACTGGAGCACAGCAGGAAACTCAGCACACTCCTGTTCACACCAAACATTCAATGCACCAAAGCTGCTGGGTCCTCCAACAACTCCAAGCAAAATGAAGAGCTGCCCATGTCTGTTATAGCTCCAGCTCTCAGCACCCCCTACAAACGTCAGTGAATGCAGACAGATGCTGGGATGGATTTTAAGTAGCATGCTGCAACTTTATTAAACTTGGCAAATGGGTGGAGTTGGGGACTACCTGCCTGTCTCCTATGCTCCCATGTACCAGGCATTTTAAGTGGTTCCAGTGCAGAGGTTCCAGAGTTCTTACCATACAACCCTTGACTTGGACTTGCCTCTCCTCAGTCTACCTCTAGGACTCAGCTTGCTCTTCTGAATCCTTTCACATATACACAAACCCAACCCCTGTGATGAGAACAGAAGGTCTGAAAGGGAGGACCTTGGTCCACAAACAGCACCCACCAGCTCCTGAGCACAAGACCCCATCAACAAATTCCCAGTCTTTTACAGGGAACTGGCCCTTTCAGCTTTTTAACCACCTTAGAAACCTTCAGTGAACTAACAGCCTTACAAAGTATTACCAGTAATGATTAAATCCCATGCCTATTAACCTAACTGTGCCTCCAGGAAGCTGTGATGAAGTAAAAAAGCCTACCAAGACTTTGCCAAATGGGAATGAAACATTCCTTGCTGATCCCCTAAAACGGGTACGAAGTCAGAGCTACAGGATCTGCTACACACAGCTCCAAATCTACAGTGAAGGAGAGAGAGATGAGGCTGCTGGAACAGAGCAAAAAGAGACTCCTAGGGTGCATCTACACTGCACCTTTAGCTTGCAATAAGCTACGCAATTTGAGCTACACAAATTGTGTAGCTTCTTTCGAGTCATTTTTGAAATTGCTTATTTCATAATTTGTCGCTGTCTACACAGCGCCGAATGTCAAAATAAACCGCCATTCTGAAACCTCCCTTAATCCCAGTGCAATGAGGTTTACAGGGATATTGGAATAGTGCACCCATTATTTTGAAAGATATTTTGAAATAATGGGCATGCTGTCAAGACATGGAATAGCTATTTCGGGATTCCGGAAGTATCCTGAAATAGAGCTGCAGTGTAGATGCACCCCTAAGGATCTATGCTAAGTTTTAAATCAATTAAAGGGGAGAGCCAGAGACCAATAACCTGCCCTCCTCCTCTGGCTGCTCATTGGGTGAACAGAGCCTCTGGCATAGGAAGGCATACCCCTATTTTCCCCAGGCTACGTCTAGACTGCAAGCCTCTTTCGAAAGAGGCTTTTTCAAAAGTATCTTTCGAAAAAGCCTCTTTCGAAAAAGAGCATCTAGACTGCAAGCAGTACTTTCGAAAAAGCAAGTCGCTTTTTCGAAAGAGAGCACCCAGGCAGTCTGGATGCTCTCTTTCGAAAAAGCCCTGTTTGCATTCAAAAACACCTTTTTTCGAAAGAGTACTTTCGAAAAAAGGCATTCTTCCTCGTGAAATGAGGTTTTCCACCATCGAAAGAAAAGCCGCGTTCTTTCGATTTAATTTCGAAAAAACCCTTGAGTCTGGACACAGCCCCAGTGTATGCCTTGCCACTTCCCAATTACCATTGGTCTCATCGCATTTCCCACCTATTATGGTAAGTGGGCAGCATTTTCCCGATTCCACATCTCTGCCATATGGAAGAAAAAGGTTCTGAAAGATGAAACCTCACAACACAGAGACAGAGAGAGGCAAAACCCTATCAACCAGAAGGGTCTGAGACAAATGAGAGGTTGAAAGGAAGAAGAACAGAAGGAGAGATTTAGAAAAAGGGGCCATGATAGCGGAGGGAGAAAGTTCTGTAGTTTTCCAGTGCTGGAACTTGTCTGGATTTAAATTTTAGCTAAGTCAGAAGAAGAAGAGGAAGAACAAAAATGAATTAAAACACAACACCTATATGCCAACATATGAAAGCTGGAGGCATTTGGGATCTGATTCAATGCCCATCTCCATCAATGGATATTTCTCCCTCCCCCTGTTACACTAGGGGAGAATTTTCCAGGAACAGACTTTTAAAAAGTTATTTTTCTGAACAAAAGCTACTGTCTCTCTCTAAAGAGCTGTCTGTGCACTTGTATATGAAGTCATGATAGGAAAATAGAGGGCAGATTTAGGATCACGAATGGAGAAAAAATGAGCATCGTTGTAGACTGATCAAAAATTCTTCAAATGAGAAATGTATCCTTATGAGTCATCAGTTGAAATCAAACTTCTGTTCTAGAAAGCTACACTGCTCGGTTTGTGTGTATATCTTTCTGCTAAATTTCACATCATTGAGCATGGTATAGAGAATAAAAATAGAAAACAGAAAGGCATTTTTATGTTTTTATGTGAATAAACTCATAAATTACATGAAAGTAAGTAAGAAATACATTTTACCGTGTTGTAAGTGCCGTTCTGTTTCATTCATATGAATGAAGACCAGAAAGTTAAATGAGATAGGAAAGCTTTTCATAATGTGATGTGTGGCTTTTGGAAAGCATAGTGAGGAATTTTTGCAGAGGATGACCCATTTGGAACAATAACAGCAACTTCTGCAATAATACTCTTTGAAATTCAAATAGGCAAAATATCTAAGGCAAACTGAGGGGCAGGGTAATAAACAAGTATTTCCCCCCATCTCTGAATAGCAGGATAGCAATCTATTTGATGGAACACATTACATATATATTCTTCATCCCTTGAAAAATTATCTCTGCAGTCTGAATATACTGTATTAAGGTTTGCTGAATTTATTTCTGCCTTTGTTATTTTATAAATATAGGGTATTTGAGATGGAATGTGAATGAAAGAGTTTGGGATTTAAAGATCTGCTTCTCTGAGGTACTCAGACCCCATCCACCACTGAAGTCAATGGGAGTTGAGCCTTCTTGGCACCTCATGGTATCTAGTCTAAAAGTGTTAGTGGCCACAATGCCACATTTCCCAAAAGGAACAAATCTAACACAATTGAGATTTCTTGGGAGCCAACAATATCATACACTTTATAATGAAGCACTATAACACTTAACAAAAATTCTCTAGAGAAGTGGTAAAGGGGAAGGTTCAGTAGTTCTTTTCAGCAATGGGGTTGCTAGGAGTCAAATTTTCTGAGGTTAAAGTGAGCGTAGGGATCTTAATTTTATCCATAGTTAGTGTTAGTGAATGTAATCAAAACTGTCCCCAAGACTTTCACCGTCGGACAAAGGTAACAGATACCTAGAACAGGACAAGTGAGGTCACAATCTATAAGTGAAGTTCATTGACACAAAGCGTTTACATAGCTGCGGACGTTAAATTCACTCCATAACATTAGAAATAGCCCTTTCAGCTCAAATCTGCCTGTTCAACATAATCACATATATTTTGGAACAAATAAAATGTTTGGTAACATTCACATGAAAGTTAAGGCTTACCATTGCTGTAAGACCGAAAATTTCCTACAAATTTTATGTATTCATATGTTGGAAATTCCTTCAGGTTCAAACTTCCTCTCAGAAGATGACAGTAAAACTCTAAATCATTGTCAGCTGGATTGTTAAAAGAAGGAAAAATAAATGAAGAGGCTATTTAAACTAAACACAGTGAGTGAAAACTTTGGCCCTGATCCTGCAACTGATAGTGTATAACTGCACTCATTCAGACCCTTACTGAATGCAGATCACTAGCATGCTAATTGCAGGATTGAAGCCTCTGTGAAAAGAACCCTAAATAAACCCAGGATGTTCAACACTCCTTGCAGACTTTTCCCATGGCTGACTTGCAGAATTAGGGCCCGACTCTCCATTCCATTACACCAATTTTATTAAAGAAATGACACTGCCTGGTATAATGTAATGCAGAATCAGGCCCTTAATTTATAACTCTTATTTATTTAGATTTTTCTTTCCATAATTCACAGACTTTCCCTATCTTCAGTTTGGGAAAAAAACAGTCAATTTCATTGTAAATACCTTTTAAATTAACTTTGGAATAGCAGTGGATTTTCTATATAGTAGATTTTTTTAAACAAAATATGTAGATTCTATCCTCGTGAATCTTGTCTTGTTTTTTGTCTTCCCCACTTTTAGAGCTAATTTAGATGAAGTATGTGAAAGGATTATTTATGAAAAATAAATGATAAAACAAATTCTGAATAATTAACACATTTTTCAATGTAATGTAACACAGAAATGTGCATCAGTAGAATATTTATGGATTGAATATAACTTTATTAGGTTGAAACATCAATTACGATGCGATTTTATTTTGCTGAACTTTTCTAAATTTCCATGGCCAAATATATTTTCCTTACCTCTCCCCTAAGACATAATATTTTATAATTAACATAACTGCAAGCCATCTTACTCTAGTAAATAAATGCAGTCAGTCTAGTTTGAAACTGAACAGAAGGATCATTTCTAGTGGCAACATTTGTTTCAAAATGAAGGAAAATATATCTAAAGATGTAAAATAATTATACTGCCATGAAGATGCCACCCTTGCAAGAGAGAGATCTTCTTTCTCTCATGCTTTTCATTTAGTGGGAATGATAAAACAAAACTTACTCTTTAGGTAATCTGGTGAGGCAGAATCTGCCAAAAGCGTATGAGAAGATAATATTTTATAAACTTCTGAATGTTCTTGTTCTGGGAGGAAATTTAACAAATTTTGATCCATGACATCACACTGCAAAGAAAAAAAAAGAAGATACAAATTCTGAAAAAAAAAAGGCATTCTCATTCTCCACCAATCTGCCATTTTTGGCAATAGGGGCAGCACTTTATTTGCAAAACCAAACAGAAAGCCCAATTTTCATAAGCAGCTGTCAAGCTTTCCATGCCTATAGGCACATAAGTACCCAAAGTGTCAGGTCTAAAGCCCATGGAAATCAGTGGGAAACTTTCCATGGACTTTCACAGGCTATTATTTTGGTCTAAAATAGGTAAGTGTGTATACAAGTTAGGCAAACACATCTTAAAATTGTACTCTGTATAATCACAATATGTTATTATACTGAAAAAAGTAGTGCATGCTGGGCCAAGTCCACCTGTGGCGTAACTCTAGTGACACCTGTGACATTCCACTCGTCTTGAGTTGTCTTCATAAGAATTAAACCCCGAAAAGTAACCCATTCCAAAGGAAGTTGTTGCTTCCCATTTAGGGATAGACCGTGGACAGAGAGAGTGTAGTGAGCCTTCCCGTATGCAAAACAGACACAGTGGCGGTTTTTGAGTTTCAGGATGTACAGAGTCTGCCTCCTCTTACTGCCTCCAGGAGCACAAACTAGCAACAGGAGGCAAGGAAGGGTGGGTCCATGGCTTTTTCCCTCCTTTGTCTCCATTAGAGTTGGTCAAGCACACAGCTGAGGAACGTTGCACCATTCAAAGTGACAGTGCAGCATGCAAACTTCCCTGGTGTCCACAGGGGAGCTTTGGTACGGATCGTGCATCCTCAGGCACAATCCTTCCTGGACTGGTGGAGCTCTACACAGCCCCCAATAGATCACTGACTTAACTGCATAGCCTGGCCCAGTTGACTCAAGCTTTGGGGCTGTTTCTCTGATGTGTAGATTTCCGGTCTTGGGCTAGAGCAAGTCTCTGCAGGGTGGGAACAGAGTGGGAGGATCCCTCCTTTTTGTTTAGTGTTCACACAGTGCTCAGCACAGTTAAGTCCTAGTCCATGATTAGTGCTCCTAGGAGCAACCCAATACACATAATAATGATCCATTCCATATTTGGGATTGGACACCAGAGAAGATTATCACACTAAAGACTACTAGGGTGAGGAAAGAATAACCAATTTACAGTCTTAGATCTCAATTCAGAAAAGTACTTAATTACCTGCCTAAATATGTCCTTATTGAAATAGGGTTTAAGTCTGATTGACTACAGTAGGACTTTAGCACATGCTTAATTGCCTTCCAGAATAGGAATGCTTTGCTGAACTGGATGCTTAGTTTCCACTAGGATACAAGAGTACAAAGGAAAGCAATGAAAAAAGGTTGCTTGACACTGAGTTAAACATCTGAAGGACCTTGAAAACAAGACATTCTGTGGAAATCATTGGGCCTAAAAGACCATAGGATAGCAAGAGGCAACTTCTCTGCCTACAAATGACAGAAAGCTTATTGAACTCCTGCACTGTGGAAGACTAAAGAAAAATGATGTAGGTGGTTTTACGTCAAGCTACTTTGTTACTGTTGCATAGCAATATTCCTATGTTCACAACCAGCTCTCCTTATTTCATGACTTTATTTCACCCAAGAAGAAAATAATTACTCTTCGTACTACAGCTTAGCGCGATACCTTAGATATATTTTGTTGGATAGAACATATTTAACATATTTGGCTGAATGCTGAAATGAGTGAAAAACATAATTACAATTTTCCTAAGGGGAAAAAAAAAAAGAATATGGAATAGAAGCGCTTCCTGTTGCTTCATATGCAGACTGAACTACTAAAATGAGTGAGAATTAATGCCTTAATTATCATACCATCTGTCCCAGACCAGTATCACCAGCAGGAGCAGAAAAAAGCAATTCTTCTTCCCTGCTCCTCCAGCCAGATGTAGCATAGCACAGGCGTGTCTTTGAGACACAAGACCCAGGCCAGTTCTACACTAGACCTACAAGGTTGGCTTAAGGTACGCAGCTCCAGCTATGTATACATGGCTGGAGTTGGCTTACCTTAAGCTGAGCTTGGCACTGTCTTCACTGTGGGAGGCTGACAGAGAAAACACTCCTGTTGGCTTCCCTTACTCCTCACAACTGTGAAGAGTATATGCGCTGGCTGGAGCTGCCCTCAGCGTTTGATTAACTGGTCTATACTAGACCCACTAAATCGAATGTCAGAACTTTGACCTCCAGCACGGCAAGTGAAGATGTGCCCCCTGTGACCTATCCGCCTCCCAACATACAGCCACATACAGCAGCAGCTTCACCACTACCATCTTCCACAGGACAGTAGTTAAAAGACTGCTTCCCTTGGTAAAACACCATACCTTCACAGTTGAGCAGACCTTCACAGCTCAACAGGCTGGTGATATCAGTCAGTCAGTTCAGAGTCTGATCCTGTTCTACTGAAGTCAATAAGGGTATGTCTACACTTCAAACTAGGGTGGTTAATGTAGGCACCCGGAGTTGCAAATGAAGCCTGGGATTTGAATTTCCCGGGCTTCATTTGCAGCTCCAGTTGCCTACATTAACCACCCTAGTTCGAACTAGGGTGGTTAATGTAGGCACCCGGAGTTGCAAATGAAGCCTGGGATTTGAATTTCCCGGGCTTCATTTGCAGCTCCAGTTGCCTACATTAACCACCCTAGTTCGAACTAGGGTGGTTAATGTAGGCACCCGGAGTTGCAAATGAAGCCTGGGATTTGAATTTCCCGGGCTTCATTTGCAGCTCCAGTTGCCTACATTAACCACCCTAGTTCGAACTAGGGTGGTAGTGTAAACATACCCTAAGAGTGTTGCCCTTTATGTTAATGGACCCTCAGTGCACTTCTCAAATGGTGCCACTATCACCAGCTGTTCTCCATGAACTATAAGTACAGCTGCGATTCTGTCACTGGGGTCATGGAAGTCGCAGGTTCAGAGACTTCATGTCTGCAAACTTGATGTCTTCTTCAGCTACAGTGCGCTTGGCTAACCCTAGGGAATCTCTCAAGTAGCTGTGGTCCCAGGGGCAGACAGAGCAGCAATCTGGAAATCACTGAAACATTGATCCAGGGGCCAGCCCTGGGGATGACTGAGTAGCAGCAGTCCCAGCAATGGCTGAAACAGCATCCTTGGAGGCCATCAGGAAAGTGGTCTCTGGGGGGCAGTCAGCTGCCACTGCTGGAGCAGGAGTTCCCCAGAGAAGTGGTACCTCAGGGCCTTCAAGAGCAGCAGGGTACCAGGAGCAGAGATTTAATAAGGGGTATTTATAATAAAAGTCATGGATCAGTCACAGACTGAATTCTTGTTTATTGCCCTTTACTTGTCCATGACTTTTACTTAAAGTCCCCATGACTAAATCTTAGCCTAACTTTAAACATTTTATATTCTTCCTAGAAAGCAAAGATGCAAAGAATAGTTAGGTCTTCTCATCCTTCCCCACACCAGCACATCCTTCAGAGCTTTGTCCTGTCTAGTTTTAAATGTTTGACAGCAACAGAGAACTGAATGGCCTGAATCATACTAAACCCCCCCAAAGATCACGGGTTCAATTGTTTTTAAATCACACATTTGTAACGTTGATGGGAAAAAATTCACAACAGTGTCATCTCCCTTTTTACCGGTGCTAAAAATAAATGAGGAGTGGGGGTTTGAAATCCTGCACTCAGAGGGTATGTCTACACTACATGGCTCCATTGACGGAGCCATGTAGATTACCTTTGTAGACATAGGAAAATGAAGCGGCAATTTAAATTATCGCCGCTTCGTTTAAATTAAAATGGCTGTCGCACTGTGCCGATCAACTGTTTGTCGGCACAGTGCTATAGTCTGGCCGCTCCGCGGTCGACATCAAAGGCATTTGTCGACCTCCCTGGTAAACCTCATCCCACGAGGCATACCGGGGAGGTCAATAAATGCCTGTGATGTCGACCGCGGAGCGGCCAGACTATAGCACTGTGCCGACAAACAGTTGATCGGCACAGTGCGACAGCCATTTTAATTTAAACGAAGCGGCGATAATTTAAATTGCCGCTTCATTTTCCTATGTCTACAAAGGTAATCTACATGGCTCCGTCAATGGAGCCATGTAGTGTAGACATACCCAGAGTAACTATTCCTAGAAATCAATGGGATTACTCACAAAAATAAGCACTTCATGCAGGTTTTGATGTTTACAGGATTGATCCGTAATTTGTATCAGCAAAAGAGTGTGTCAGAATTACTCACAGGTAAATGTCCAAGCAGAGGTGTAATACTATCAGAAGCATATATGATACTTCCATCTGTGGTTACTGCTATAACGAAGCCATCTAATGCCTAAGGGAAATGCACAAATGGAGAGTTCTTTAAAGTATGAGCTTGTATCAGTAATTTTCATTATACATTGATCAAAACCTTTTACCTCACTACCATACTATAATTAGATTGTAGGAACATTATCTCAAGTTGCACAACAGTAATACTCTGATTTCAGTCTTATCTCACTTACACAGTGTTCTTTGTAGTCCAGCAAAATATACTAGCTGAGACAACAAAGGGCTTACGAGAATATTTTAAATGTCAGTTTTAAAATTAATCACACGTTAGTAATGCAAAATGGCTAAGCCTGGATCCTTGGAAGTTAATAAAAAAAGTTAGCTGTGTAAATATCAAAGCATCACAATAGAATGAAGTACTATCTCAAATAGCAATTCCCCATAAAACCAATCCATTTGTATTCATGTAACATTGAATATTCTTTCATGTAAATAAAAGCAACAGAAATAATCAAATAATCTTAATATCCAGGTTTAACTGAGTGACTTATTGTAAAGATCATGGTATCAGATTATTCATTAGTGATAAAATTCACCTTTGTGCAGAAAGCTAATGAAGCTCTTGAGCATTACTTAAATCCCACACTGCAGCAGATTCTCCAGCCCTGGGATTTAAATGGGGCACCAGCCTTATAACAGCCCTCTGCATAGAGGAAAACACCGCCCTAAAATATTTTATCATGTATAAATATACTAGCCCAGTGTCTGTGAGCCTGTAACACTGACGTACACGGCCATGCCCCCTGGCCATGTACGTCACCGCCCCGCTCCCCTTCCCCTCCTGCCATGGCACTCAGCTGAGTGCTGTGTGCTCAGCCAGGCCGCTGCGGGGGAGTGTTTGGGAGGGAGGGGAAGGGGACAGAGCGGTGATGTACACGGCCAGGGGGTGGGACTGTGTACGTCACCACCTCCCGTCTCCCTCCCGCCCTCTCCTGCTTAGCTGCGTGCTGTGCCCCTCAGACGGGCCGCTGCAGGGGAGCCAGCGGCTCAAGGGGCCATTTGGGCTCTCCAGCGGTGGGAGGGGAAGGGGAGGCGGGGTGGTGATGTACATGGCCCTGCCTCCTGGCTGTGTACGTCACCGCCCTCCCCCCCTCCCGGCGGCCCGGCTGAGCAGGCAGCACTCAGCCGAGCGCCACCGTGGGAGGAGAAGGGGAAGAGGAAGGAGGGCGGGGAGAGATGGAGGGGAGGGAGAGGCAGGAGGAGGAGGAGAAGAGAAAGGGAGAGTGAGAGGCAGGAGGCGGAGGAGAGCTGAGACAAAAAGGGGGAGGCAGTAGGAGGAGAGAGAGAGTGTGTGAGAGAGAGAGAGACCGGAGGCTCAGGAGAGAAGACCAAGGTGGAGGAGAGACCTGAAAATCCTGTCTTATGACGGGCTAATTGGCTAGTGTATAAATATTTTCCTTATAGACATGTCTGAAATTAATAGCCTACTCTCTCTTGAGCTAACCTTCAAAGTGTTTCTAAAGCAAGGCCTCATCTTCTACTCCAACAAGAACAAACAAATAAGAAGCACTAAAAATATTTGGTCAAGTATAATATTAAATTCATACCACCAGTCCTGCTCCCATGGAAGCTGATGAGCTAACAGCAAAACTACCATTGATTTCAGTGGGAGCAAGTCTAGATCCATAAATCAATCGATCTAAATTCTGATATTGGTCTCGTCATTATCTAAGCAACACAAATATTACTAACATTTACCGTATTTTCCGGCGTATAAGACGACTTTTGATGTTAAAAAACATCCCCCAAAAATCGGGGGTCGTCTTATACGCCGGGGCTGTCCCGCTGCTGGGGCGTCCTCAGAGGCTTTGCTCCCGGTGTCCCTGGTCTTCTGGGGACTGCAAAGCCGGGGAGGCGGAGGGGTGCTGGGGTATAAGACGAAACCCTATCTTTTAACTAAAAAATTAGGGGGTCGTCTTATACGCCCAGTAGCCTTATACGCCAGAAAATACGGTACTAATTAGAAAAGTGCTCATACTGAGGGGTTTCCTTTGAGATGACGAGTGGTGGAAAGGAACTGGAAATGCAGTTAGTCTGCAGCACCCCTTATTCCTTCAGCTTACAGCAGTGGTCACCAACCAGAAGATCTTGATGCCTGTGACAGATGGTCCTGACTGGTTTGGCTTAGAGCTACAGCACTTCAGCTTCCTTTCCCTGCCACTGCTGTGCTACTCCTGGCCTCTGCCTTAGAGCTACCTCTTGGGGGGCTTCTATTTGCTGTTCAGGAGGGGGAGGCAAAAGAGGGGGCCACTGATGTCAGGGTGTTCCCTTCCCCCCATGTCTGTACCCCATCTCCACAGAATAAGCAGGGTGGGGTCTTGCAGAAGAGGTAGGGAAGGAAGTGGGACGAGGATATTTGGGTTTGAGGTAGATCCTGGATTGATTTACATTGGAAAAGTGATCTTACACTTAAAAAGGTCGGAGACCATTGGCTTCGAGCATGAGGTGCAGGAGGATGCAGGCACAAACAGTGTACACTGTTACTGAAAAATCTCCCAGTCTCAGGCACATGGAGTGCATTCCAACCCACAGCAAATACCCACAAGGACCAGCACTCAACAAAAAAGCCACCATCTGCCCATTCATTTCTTTCCTCCACAAGGGAACATTTTTAATTCAGTGTGAAGGGAGTTAGGTGTGTAAATCCCTGTGCACTAAAATGAGAATCTACAAGCACATCAGGCAAGTGCAAACGAGCTCTCTCTTAAAAACTGGCTTTCAACATTCGGAAGTGCTATGTAAAAATCTAAGACAGATACAAGAGATGCAAACCAATGATTGTATCAAACAAAACTATTAGGAAATTATTTCCATTTGCTTCAAAGAACATAAGAATGGATATAGTGGGCCAGACCAAAGGTAATCTAACCTAGCATTTTGTCTTCCAACTGTGGCCAATGCCAGGTGTCCAAGAGGGAATCAACAGAACAGGCAAACATCAAGTGATCCATCCCCTGTCGCCCATACCCACCTTCTCACAAACGGAGGCCAGGGACACCATTTCTGACTTTCCTGTTTAAAGCATGAGCATTAACAGAAAGGGAAATAAAATATTTCACAAGAAGAAAACTTATGAAAAACTAAATGGCAGTGGTAACCTCATAGTGGAGCCTGAGAGATAATTTACAGTTCTCCCTCCTAGCATAGGGCAGTGGCTTCCTGACTAGTGGTAATGAATCATGTCCATTCATACTTTTTTCTTCATATGAATGTTCATAAACCACAGCAGAGAAAACAATAAGCTGCAAAAAACCATGCTATTAAATAACACTCCAAAACCAGGGAACCTTTATATTTTTAGCATCAGAAAAGACAATTAACAAAGCTGTAGTTATTTAAAAGATAGAAAATTGAATTTTGGCAGCTCATGTGGATTTCATATCAAACCCACACAAACATCATTGAGTCATTTCCCTAAAAATCTCTGTTAGTTTAAGAAACTCCTATGGTATAATTTAAATGTAAATTAATAGAATATAATTGCAAGGTGATTGTGCTCCCTCTTACACTAAAGATGTCTTTGATAGGCACTTTGGAAATGACTGAACTGGTAGAATTAATGGTGTCAAATCAACAGGGGCTATCATTTTGTATGTCAGTATAGCACCCACTACAATAAGGTTTTGGTGTGGATAACTTTTAGGTACTAATGCAGTATAAATCTTAAATAAAATAACAATAATACACATACCAAAAAGGAGAGAGATGGTATGTTTTTCCTTTCCTTATATTTGTAACAATAAAATGTAAATCATAAACTGAATTTATTTTATGTATTACATTTAACATGTGTCTGTACCATTTTTTTAAAGCTGTGGATTTTTATTAACTGTTGTACAGGTTGAACTTCTCTGACCCAGCACCCTCGGGACCTCACTAGTGCTGAACTAGAGAATTTGCCAAACCATGGGAGGTCAATATTGTCTAGCAGCATTACCAACACTTCCACTGCTTACTAGGCTCTTAGAAGACATTTAGGCAGGCCCTCTCAAAGAATGACAGAGGCCCAGGCAATTTTGAGTTTAGATGCCCCATCCCAGATCCAGCCCCCCAATGTATCTAACTTCTCATCCACAGGGTCATACTAAAACCAAAAGAATATAAGAAAATGAACACTTGAGACATTTATTTATTAACAGTTAAGTCATTATACCAATAGCATTTATATTAAAAATGAAACTTTAATTTTGAGTTTCTATTGCAAGCAAAGCTCTTCATTTTAGGAATGTTTTTTCTGGCTTTGTTGTGTGCAAACTTGTTTATAAATGAAGATAAATCTTAATTTACATGCAACATCACTGTTAAGGTTAAGCAGTGCGAACCCATTCAAATGCTATGGACCCATTGTAGAATGATGATAATTCAGTACTTGTTTTAACAAGTTGAATGGACATTCACCTGAACCCATTGATGCAGGGACACTGACAAAAATATGTAATGCAATTGTGATATTAGGAAATACAGTCTACAGGCCAAAACTGAATATTTTTTGAAGCAGTTCTTTTAGCAGTCCAATTTAAAGTTGGTGGAATGTATTCATTTCAGGAAGATGATCTCGTCATAGAGATCTCTTGAAATTTCATTGTACTTTTGTTGAAACTGTTCAGCTGCTGAATAAAGATCTTAATTACTTAGTTCTCTGAACTCCCAAAGGAATCCAAAAAGGGTACAAAATTTGTCGCAGTGACTCAATTCGACATGTAAGACCAGATTTGATTTGATAACAAAAAAAATTGACTCGATAGTGCCTTTCTGCATCGGATTGAGATGTTAGGCTGTGATTGGTGGAAAACTCAGATGAAATGTCAATACTCTGTGCTACTGATTTGGACTCATAAAGGATTGTATCCCATTGATCATGAATCTTTTGAATGTCTTTAAGAAATCATTCAGTGTTATCCCTCTCAACATCTAATGTAGCATTGTGTGCTTCTATTAGATTCGTGGATCATTTTTAGTAGCTTCATCCACATGGATGACATTAAAATGCATTCAAATTTGGATGTATACGTCTGAATTGACTTAAGCTCAGTGTGAGCCTGTGCTGCAAGAATAAGAGATTCAAGCTCATTTAAAGCCTTTCTCACAGATGCCAAATGCTGTGCAACTGGTTTAACGTCATCAGTGCATGCTGACCATCTTATTATTGACATGCCATGAAAGGAAACAGGCAGATGCTACTTCAGAATTTCCCACCTTTGAGGACTGCTACTGAAGACGTTGTCCAATTGCTGATTTGTTCCTGAGTATGTGATTGCTTCCTTGCATGATTAAATGCAAACAACGCTAACAAGATTTAGTGTGTGGTTGCCACAACTGGAGAAAATACATTTTAGATTTTGCTCAAGAAGGACTGCTTGTACTCTGTTGTACTTCCCAGCCATATTTGATCCATTGTCATAAGCTTGGCCAATTTAATTTGAAGCCTTCCAGAATTTCTAATACACTAGTGGCAATTTCTTTTCCAGGTTTTTTCATGAAATTATCGAACAAAATGAATTGTTCTTCAATTGAAACTTTTGAAATTCCTACAATTTTAACATATTGAACAACCAAGGTCATCTGTTCCTTATGACAGCAGCCTGGAGTTGCATCAATAATAATCAAAAAGTACTTCGCATGTTGTATCTCTTCAAGAATTGTTGTTTGCACAAATGTCCCACACAGCTCAATAAACTTGTTTTGTATTCTGGTAGACAGACAATGGACTTGCATGCATTTTTACTCTCTTGTGATTCACAAACATGCTTAATATGGCCTGATAAAAGTATGTCATACTTGCTAAGAAACTCAAGTATACCAAGAAAGTTTCCGTTTGTATGGTCACCGATACATTGATTAGAACCAAACAAAGCCAATTCCTGTTCAGAAAGAAAAAGAATGGCATTCAATATATGCTCAAGGAGTTTTTTTCCCCAGTCATCAGTTTCTGTGTTTATTTCACTCAGGAGTAAGTTTTCAATTGAAGTGTCAGCTAGCACTGCTTTAGTTTTCGATGTAACATAGTTATCTTTATGTGATACTGAAGTTTCACGTGCAGATATTCAGTCTTTCAAATTCTTCCAACCTCTACTGATGCTCCAACCAGATGGATCAGACAGTACTGATGCATTTGAAGTATTATTGTTAAAAATGAATCAGGGTACACAGTACAGAGCCTGCTTTTCCATGCTCCAGAAGAGCCAGCTTCTTGTGTAGATCTCTGCATTTGGAAGAGTTTTTGTCAGCAGATGATTGGGAAAAGCATGATCTTTAGCATCTTTCGGTATATTACTTGGAATCTGAAAACAACTAACTTTGAGAAACGACTGTGTTTGAGCAACATTGTTCTTATCAAGAAATCCAATATTACAGTGGTCCCCAACCTTTCAAGGTTGTCGGGCGCCAGGGGGCATGGCCGTTGGCCCGCCGGGCGCCAGGGGGCGGGGACACTTGCGCCCCGGGGGCGGCCCCCCCCATATCCGCATGCCCGGGGCCGGCGCTCCCCCTGCCAAGCGCCACGCGCCCGGGGCCGGCGCTCCCTCTGCCGGCGCTCACCGTGCGCCATGTGCCCGGGGCCAGCCCCAAGCACCGTGGTGGGGACCAGTATCAGCACAGGGACGATATA